GAAAAGATGGTGGTTTTGCTGGCTAATACTAAATATTTTAAGTAATTTGAATTTATTTAGTATAATATATAATCATAATATATGTTTAATCTGCTTATTTTATGTGTATATTTTTCCGGCACAGTTACGATATAGGCCTATATATTTATTTATTTTTTTTTCTCATCTAATAAACTTAATCGGTGCATTCATACAGATTATTCTTTTTCATATTTAACTATGAGTCGGCAATAAAAACACCTATATGTTAAAAAGTAAAAATCCTCCTCTAAGAATCGGTTTACATTTATTAAAAAAAAAAAAAAAAAAACAACTTGGAAATGCGTAAAAAAAAAATTAAAAAAAAAAGTGTCATGTGATCTAAGCGTGGTTATGCAATACCAAAAGGACACAGAGGACAAACTAAAATAAATAAATATGTTTCGATTTATATACAGCAGGTAATAGTATCACTGTGTGTTATCTAGTGACGGTGACAATAAATCTAGTGCTGTGGACGACTGACATTGTGTAAAACTCATATTGTGTGGAGCAACGTGTTTTACAGTTTTCAAAAGCTCGGCTGTGTGCGTGGACATGGAAAATGGAAAATATAAAACAACTGTGGATATTCTGCAACGCAACTGCAAATTAGACTGTCCTGTAATAGTCAGCATCTTTGGGCTTTTATTTACGTCCAAACGTGTGATGCGAAGGGGCAGCAGTGTAATTATTGTGGAGAAAATAGGTCAGACTGGACCTCAGCAGTGTCCATTTGTCACAATGCATTGTGAGTGAGGTGAATGACTCAGAGGCATATGGCTTTCATATCAGCACACTGAACAGCTGATTTCTTCAGAAAGCTTCTGTTAAGTTCAAGGTCCCGGGGGTCGATGATCATCGTCACGCGCTTCATAACACAAATATTCACTGAATGTTGCCAAAAGAAAATCGCCATTTTATTTAGTATTTTATATCCACGAGAAAAAAAAAACGCGTTTTATTTAAATATGATGTTTAATATTCCAAAATGAAACTCAATGGCTCTTCAAATCAAAATTGAGACAGGTTTACGATCATTCCAAACAACAGAAAATAAAAACAATAACAAAACAGGTTTTAAGGAATAGATCATATAAATGCATAGAACAATTTAGTCTACCAACAAAGCTAAAAATGATTCGGGATGTTAAAATAAATAAGCATGGTCGATAAAATAAGCCCACATTTACAACTATGTATTTGTAAATATTTAAAGAGACATACAACAGATGACGTTTATTTTATCAGCATTATATAGCATTAGGTACAACATCGACACTGAAACAATTTTTTTTTTTAAAAACAGCCTAATAAAGCAGGGATTTCCGTGGATGAAAAACACTGTCGAATAATCAATAATAAATCGACGAAATGCACCGTTCATCTTATGATACACACTAAAAGGAATCGAAAGCTAATCGAAATGATCATTCGTTGTCCATTTTTCTTTAACATGCAGCTATATATAACATCTTAACATGTAAAATTAAATATATGCATGCTAAAATATTTTAAACACATCATATTATTTCAATAAATCTATACAAACAATACATATGCAATTTGTAACCTTCAATCATAAGACAGTCCGCATTACTGGAGATGACACGACGAGTGCTCAGGTAAATGCTAAATAACAAATGAATAAAATTAAAAGGATGCATACATAAAATCATCTATGTGAATAACGCACACATTAATAGCCCAAAATAATATAAAATAATAATGACATTTACAGGTGGGCCCCGTATTATTACACTGAAATATGATTAAATCATAACATTTTTCACTTAAACGTACAACTGTATTTGTTAGAAATAACGAGAGGGCTTTAAATAAACGGAGTATCAATTATAGTGATGCATTAACAATTATATTTATAACGAATTTGAGCTTATCATGCAAATGGTTTTCACAACCTAGACAGAGAAAAAAAAAAAAAAAACTTGAAGAAACTCAATCATAATTCCCAAAATTGCTGGATAAGTCGCGGTAAAAACTATATGCAAAACACAGACGAATTCTTCACTCATTTAAAGGGCACGATGCTCATGTCCAGATTGCATGCGTCATGTGAACCCCTGAACCGGTCCATTTCCAGATGACACTGGAGTGAAGGTGATCCATGTATGCTCAGTAGAGATTTCCAATTCCCATGGTGTTCATCTCTGTGAAATTATATACCAGTTTTCCGTAAGAGATCTAAATTTATTCATTGGCTATTTTTTTTGATGTCCTTCACCTGCATGGCCAGCATCTCAGTTGCTGAAGAACTGATTCTTGAAACAAGCTGATTTAATGGGATCACCTGCTTAAAATTGATTTTATTGTTATTTTTAATAACAGGAAAAATCATTTAAATAATTTCAAAACTATACAGGTTATTTGTGGATGCTAAACTGGTCTTAATGCATGTTTCAAATGAATGTTTAATCTCTAAATAAATAAATAGGAATAATGAACAACATTCAAAAATGAATAAGAAGTTCATGGCCATTTAAGATGGCAGCTCTAACAGGAAAACACTTTCGGAGTTGTGAATTTAGAGGTCTTTATATCTGTGAGTCAACCTCTACCACATTGTTTTTTGTGAAACACAGCATATTTAAAGTTATAAAGAAATATGAATCACATATTCATAAGACGTAAGATGCATACACAAGTGCACCTGTTGTACAGTGATCCAAATATTCAGACAACGAATGAATATTACTGTAAGCTATTTGTTGTGTAAAGTGACATTTGGAAAAAAAATTGAAAGGTTAGAAGATTAAAAAATAAATATTGCAGCAAGAGCATTGTTTGAATGACAGTATTAAAAAAGCAGGGACAAACAGAGAACAATTGCACACTAAAAAACGACTATAGCAAAAGAGCAATGAAATGAAGCGGTGTACGAGATCTACAGTAAGAAATTCAGGGGCAGACAGAAGGACAGACAGAGGTGGTCCCAGGTGCCCGTGCTCTTTACCGAATCCTGGTAATGACATCATTAGGCCACTTTGCATGACCAGAGAGAGATCCTCTTTCCGCAGAGAGTCCCTTCATGGAAGGCAGGTCAGCGACACGAGCCTCTGCCTGACATATAATTGCTGATATTGATTATAGGTTATCATATGCTGCAGGCTATTTGTAAGATAATGCCAGAGGGGTTAATTTGTTAGCCATTAACCTCTTGGGCCTGGGTCTGTGTACATACGAATTAAGTTTAAAACAAGTCCTGACTGGTTTCCTCAGCTCTTGGCCCTAAATGGAACTGTAATAGGGTTAAACCGAAATTACAATGCAACACCATGAAACAGCACTGCGCTCACACAGCCACTGTGCAGGCCACTGGTAGCCTATTTGAAAAAGGGCACTGGCCACAGGTTTTAAAAGAGCACAGCATTCGCACCAGCAATTAGACCACAATCTCCACCCATTTTACTACAAAAATATGTCTCAAAGGGCTCTTTCTGAAAAACCTTTTGGTTCCAGAACACAATTGACATTTACAGGCAATGTAAAGTGTCCATCTGAAGAAAAAAAACTGAATGTATCTAAAACAAGCAGACATTGCAGCTACTCGTCATTTGTAAATGTGAAGTCCACAAAATAATGTCAGTAAACAATGCAAAAGAAAAAAAAAAAAAAAAGTATGCTAGACCTGTAGCTCTGTCATAAACAACAACACTGAATTTATATATAGAATGAAGACTCTTTTTTTATTTTTCTTTAAGAACTTTCATTCAGCTAAGACACATTCAATTAATCAAAAGTGACAGTAAAGACATTTATTATAATCATGTGAAACTGAAGACTGGAATAATGATCTGCATCACAGGAATAAATGACATTTTAAAAATACATTAAAATAGAAAACAGATATTTTAAATTGCAAAATTATTTCACAACAAGCTCTCAAAGGGCTCTTTCTGAAAAACCTTTTGGTTCCAGAACACAATTGACATTTACAGGCAATGTAAAGTGTCCATCTGAAGAAAAAAAACTGAATGTATCTAAAACAAGCAGACATTGCAGCTACTCGTCATTTGTAAATGTGAAGTCCACAAAATAATGTCAGTAAACAATGCAAAAGAAAAAAAAAAAGAAGACTGGAATAATGAAGACTGGAATAATGATCTGCATCACAGGAATAAATGACATTTTAAAAATACATTAAAATAGAAAAGAGCTTTTAAATTGCAAAATTATTTCACAACATTGATGTTTTTACTGTATGTTTTGACCAATTAAATTCAGCTTTGGTGAGCATAAAACCTTTTTTTATTATTAACAACTTCTTAACTTTTAACCATGTTTGTGTTGAATTATATATATATATATATATATATACAGTATATATCAAGAGTCATTTTTGTGTCTGATCCAAAGGTCACAGACAATAATAGAGTATAGTTTTTCAAAATAATGTTGTTAGATGTTATTACAGTACTCTAAAATTGGGGTTCAATCAATTTAACTTTTATTTCATAAATAAATATTAAATATTGCCCAGGCAGAAATAACTTTAAAGCAGATAAATCCCCATTTCAATAAAAAAATTCAGTTACTTGAGTTTCAAAAACCAAGCAGACAGAATGTTAACAGCCATGTCAGCAACTTCAGGTCTAATCACGACAAAATCACTATCGAATGGACAATTCCAACCAAATCAACCAAACATACAACAGAAACAGTAAAACACACCCACCAGCCAAACAGCAGCATAACACAACTTTAAAAGTCTCCTGTAAAGCCCACAGTACAGCGACTGCACATCAAAACATCACAGCAAAGCCAAAGGAGATGTACCAAAAGTTGAAGGAGTGTGTGGGAGTGTGCGAGTGAGTGTTTATGTGTCCATGTGTGTGTGTGTGCGTGATTGTGTGCTGACGTGTAGGTGTGTGTTTAGGAGCGAGGGAGTGTGAGATTAGTCAGAGCAGCACAGGTGAACCTCAGAGTCTGACACAGCTCTAGTAAAACAGCAGAGGCTGTACCTGTGCTCCTCTGCTTCGGTGGCATCAAACGCTCCCCAATCCAGCAGTTATCCGACAGCAGGACGTGTGGTCCAGGTTCTCTCCTGACCCAGCTAAGAAGCACAGGGAAGAAGATGAGAGTGAGCCAGAGAGATGGAGATAGAGGGATGGGGGGGGGAGTCAGAGGTTTGCCACTGTGACCCCATGATGGATCCATGTGAGATTGGTCATAGACTCTCTCTCTTTCGTTTTCTCTCTCTCCAACACACACACACACAAACACACATGTTAAGGCTGTGCAGAGACAGTCAAGGTGCTTTGTCTAGTTCAGACATGCACACTGACCAGCAATCAGAAAAATGTCACAAAATATGCATGAAAATGGGTCACTGTATGTGATTAGCGCAAAATCATATGGTTCATGAAAATCGTATGGTATCAAACTGATCGACTCTTTCGTCTCTTTGGTTTCGGGGGCTCATGATATTCCAAATTATATTTTTGTGGGACTGTGAAAATGATTCGGGAGCCCGGCAGAATGCCATTAGTATTCATTCACACTCTCCCCATAGCATCTGCTGCGTATTTTAATACCGGCTGGACGCAGAGGGGCAGCTGGAATTGGACAGGCAAATAAAAAAAAGGGTCAAAAGTCTTACACAGAGCAGAGTCAGGCCATCCACCCAAACAAAAGACAATAAAGAAGAGGCTGGGACGCGACCGGCCGCTGATAGGAGGATCGGATACATGCGCGTGAAAGAAAATACATCAAAACTACACTCTCTGAGAAAGAAGCTGTCACTGGAGCTGTACCCTTTCAAAACAACACTTCTGTACTTTATTTACCCCTAAAGGGTGCATATTAGTACCTAAATAGTATGTAGGGTGGCACTTTATATTAGGTGTCCTTGACTACTGTGTACTAACATTAAATGTCTATGGATTTACTCTGTAACTACACGTTGTTCTGGAAAATTTCCACATTTACTGATACTAAATTTGAGGTATGGTTTGGTTTTTGTGGTAATCGTTGGGTTCCGGTTAAAGGTTAAGTTTACAATGTAACTGCAAATGTTAATTAAATGCAAGCACTTGTAATTACAATGTACCAACATGCATGTGCATAACAAGGGGCCGTTTTTCCATGCTACTGTGGTACTTTTCCATTGTTTTTCTATTTAAATAGATGCTAGATGGATATGCTTGACCGTTGCACTCCAGTCTTGTGCTATTTGCAGCATCCCATGCATGACACATGCATTAAAATAAGTTCCACTTTTTAAAAAAATGCATCTGTTTCTCATGTTTTTGAAAGCAAAAATGCATACTATGTGAATGGCCCGTAAGTATATTGTATCAGATGGTTAAGTATACTGAAAAACAATCCGAAGTAAATAAAACAAAGGTTATTAGAGTATGTTTTACAAGAAAGTGTTTTTTTTTTTTGTATTGTTTACTGTAAATAGTAGTTAAGGCCACCTAATATAAAGTGTGAACAAAACTAGAAGTTTATTCTGCTAAAGTCTAGTAAACTTGGTTAGAGTGATGGCTAAGGCAGCACGTGGAAACAACCTAAAGTTTGTTGTTTGATATTACAGTAAATGAAACGATTTGAGTTGACAGCTGCATATGAAAGGTACTTTTTGGAAAGTGCTTGGAGTGAATTGTGATAAAAAGGCATTTTTAAAAGGCAACTGCTTGCCTTGATATAAGTGTCACTCATTTCTCCAGAGCATGCACATTATGCATACCATACGAAATACTGTTCGCAAAATAAACACCAAACATTTGGGGTTTTCTGCTGCCACGTTGATGTGAAAATTGATTTGTATTGCATGAAACATGCATAAAGGGATCGGCCATCCTGCTCGGCCCGGCTTGGAGAAATCACATTTTTATATAAATCAAGCCCTCCCCTCCTCTGACTGGGGACAGACTAGGCCAAGTTGAGTTGGCCCAAGTCTGTTGACCTCTATATGCAAATGAACCCATATGGCCAAGGCACCCAGACAGGCCAGACCTCGTGCCTGAACTTGACTCCCAGCAGTGCAGATGGAAGGGAGGACGGAGGGGAGGAGGTCCCCCTCACCTTTGTTGAACCGTAATCTCTAAACAAACACCCCGAAAGCTCGTCCAGCGGGACGGTTGACCTGATGAAATAGTCTATGGACCAGGACAGTTGTGAGTAAAATCATGACCCTATCCCAAATGTGCCATCAACCCTCGCAGTCCTTTTCCAAATACACACTCAGGGAATTATGTCACATAGATTGTCTGGTAAAGGTACACTGGATATTGGCCGCAAGGGGCACTCGCAAGCACCTTTACTCAAGCGCAAAAAAAAAAAATATATAATAATAATAATAATATATATATATATAAACTGTCATCATATACTCACACGCATGTCTTTTCAAACCTTACTGTCTTCTGCACAAAAGAAAATATTTTAAAGAGGATTTCCAATAAATTAAGTAAATGATGAACCTTCCTTTTAAAGAAAATGCATGCGTCTATAACAGTTTTTTTTTTTTTGATGGTCAAATAGATGCAACATCTTGTACAATTGTTTTAAAGCTACAAACCATTGTTTCTTTCTTAAGGGTTTGCAGATATAAATAAATACATTTAAAAAATAATAAATAAATAATTAAACGAACAAATGAATTAATGATTTAATGAAAATTTGCCATAAAAAAAAAAAAAATGTTTACCACATATGTGTGCCCTTTTAAAGGTTACTTTAAGGCAAGTCAGGTCACTCGGCATGCATTTTGTAAAAGAGTTAAATCTTCAAAAAATATTTATCAGCCTAAATATTATATTTACATTCATTCATTTAGCAGATGCTTTAATTGAAAGCAACTTACAAATAAGGAATACAACAAGCAATGTATCTTAAAGAGTCAATAACATGAGAAGTGTAGAATAGTACAAGAACAGGGAGGAATTTAAGAAAGGGAAAGCATAGAGTCAGCAGGATGTAGCAAGTGCTCACGGAAGATATTTCTGCCGTTTCTTGAATATTGTCAGGGATTCGGCTGTCCAGATAGGGTTAGGATGCCATGTATAAAATCAGCAAAATAATTTATAAAATACAGTTTTATTATTTTTTAAAGCTCAAATCATAAAAATAGCTTTTTTTTTCTGGTTGGTCCAGCTAAAGCATCTCCTGCATTAAACAAATACTTCTATGAGCCAGCTGATTCTTTCGACATCCATTCTTATAGCCACTTTATTGAGCCATTTTTCCTTATTATCATTTCTCCTGTTAATTTTTCTAAGTGTGGTCCTTCTCCCACTTATAATCAAGTGTACATCGAAACTCTTGAGTTCTGGACTGAGTGTCTTCCTGCATAAAACCCAGGATGTTACTAAAACCTTGATCATGTTATGTCCTGAGCCCTCATATTCAGCCCTTTCCTCCTTAATCGTCCCTTCTTCAGCCTATCTCAGCTTCTCCTCCTCTATCTTTATCTCACCCGCCAAAATGCTTCTGAGTGCAACAGCAGGTAAACTATTCCAATTAAATACAAAAAAGGAAAGGCTGTCGTTCTACTTAACTTTGACATTTAGCGCTCAGTGTGGGGGTTCCCCTGCTCAGAAAGATGGGTCAGATTGAGAAGGCAGCGGGGCTGCATCGATCTCTGTGAGAATGTGAGTGATACCTCCTGCCAATTACAGTAATCACATGCCTGTTTCAGCGGTGAGCAAATGTTATCCACGAGAAGCAACAGGAAGCTCCATGATAACATGCCAACCACTGTTACACTAACACACACAAAGCTTATCTTGAGCACACGCTGAGTATGCGATATACTCGGAGAATAAATCTCTGCTTCTTCAAATCCAGACCCTAGATCCTACCCTCTTAAAAAATAAAAAAAAGTTTCAAATGGGGGGTTTCGCAGTAATGCCATAGAAGAACCATTCAGTGAACAGTTCTTAAAGGAATAGTTGACCCCAAAATGAAAATGTGCTAAAAATGTACTCACCCTCAGGCCATCTAAGATGCAGATGAGTTTGTTTCTTCATCAGAAATTTAGCATTACGTCACTTGCTCACTAGTGGATCCTCTGCAGTGAATGGGTGCCGTCAGAATGAGAGTCCAAACAGCTGATAAAAACATCACAATAATCCTCAATAGTTAACTCCTTGTGAAGCGAAAAGCT